CACCAGCAAAGATGCTCAGAGATAATCCCGGATTAAGAGCCAAGCCCCCAGGCCCAGGGCTCCCCGCCTGCCCACCCGCCCCCGATCTTCCCCACAAAACCCTTGGAAAATCCCCTGCTGTGCTCCCAGACTCACTGGGAGCAGCTGGGGACTGGCAGGAGCCCACAGCCTCCGCTGAGGTCCAGCCCCGGGCGGCCCCCAGGACTCCAGGCCTGGCATGGTTCATGGGCTCATGGGAAATTGTGCCAAGCGGCCCCAACACCGGGGGCCTAAGGTAGGAGGGCTGAGGGGGAGAAGCCAAGGCCAGGAGCCTAGGATGGACCCTGGAAGGGTCAGGTGGGTGGGCAGGGCCTTGTGTGGGGCTGGGCAGGAGTTAGAGGTGGGCACAGCAGGGGGATGGAGGGGCTGTTTCCCACCGGGCCTCCCTGCCAAGCTCAGCAGGCCCCTGGCTGCCCATCCAGCTGGCCGACCCTGCTCTCTGCTGGTCAGTCTTGACCTGGGGGATGTGGAGCTTGAGCTCAAGGTCTCACTCTGCCACTGGCTTTCTGAGTGACCTTGGCCAAGTCCTCTGCCCTTCCTGGGCCTCAGCTTTGCCCATCTGAACAGTAAGGGGTGGACCCTTCCAGCCTAGAGGGGTGATAGGTGAGGGCCCCTCTCTCCTGTGTGAGGTGCCAAAGGCAGGAGAGGCTGGTGAGTAGGGCGCAGAGGGGCCACTGCCCCAGCTCATGGCCGGCTCTGCTGCAGGACCGCTGGCAGTGGCCCGGCTCCTGCCTGGGGAGCTCCCACCACAGCCCCAAGGAGCAGGGGGGCCCCGGGCCGGGCGTCCAGGGCTACTCGGTGCTCAGCAGCCTGGTGGGGCCTGCCTGCATTTTCCTGCGGCCCAGCCTCGCAGCCACCCAGCTTGTATGTACAGCCGCCCGCCCGCCCTCTGCCCTCGCTTTGCCTCTCCCTGAGTAGCCGGGAGAGGACTGAGTGGGGAGGTGGGAGCAAAGGCACAAAGATCCAGGGGGGTGGGGGGCAGAGGGAGACCCAGAGAAACGTCAGAGACAGCCTGCCAGGGGCTAGGCAGGGAGGTGGCAGGGGGCCTAGGACACAGACGGTGACATTGAGGCCTCCAAGCCTGGGATCTGCCCAACCCCAGACCCACCTCTGGCAAATGGGACTCTGTGTCCAGAAGAGGATTGCAGGGGTGGGAAGGCCCTGGGAGAGGCCTGGCAGGTGGCAGGGAGGGAGGGAAACTGGACCCCCAGATCCATGGCAGGAACGGGTGGGAGGAGCCAGGTCCGAGCAGTGTCAGACACGGGCCCTGTGCATGGCATTGTGGGGCTGATCAGAGAACCCCAAAGAACAGGAAACAAGTGTGCGGGGAATCCTAACTGCTCTCTGCCCCTCAGGACCGGCAGCTGCGGCCGGAGGAGGTTGAAGGTAAAGAGCTCGGGAAGGAACTAGAGTTTCTGGGGGGTGAGGGGTGCACACATGGGAGGGGCCATCGGGCAGGGCCTCAGCCTCTCCAGGAGGAACCGGGAGCAAGAAGAGGGCTGCAGGGGACCTGTACGAGCAGACTGGGGACAAACCTGAGCGGGGACGGGTTGACAAAACCCCCAGCTGTCAGTTGCCTGGTCTCATTTACCAGGCGGGTGGTGGGCCCCTTTTGTATTTGTTCACTCAGCAAACACTTCTGGGTGCCCACTGGGTGTGTGGCCCTGTGTTGAGCACTGGGAGACATGGCCAACTCCAACGACAGGCCCGTGTCCTCTGCACACAGACGTCAATTAGCCCACAAGTGCCAATGGTGCTCAGTGCTTCCAACTCCGAGTATACATGGGCTGGAGGGCTCTGAATTTAGAGGGAGGACTTCCTTGAGTAGGTGACATAAGGACCAAAGAGGAGGGGAGAGTGTTCCAGAATGTGAGCTCCATGAAGTCAGAATTTCCCCCTCCCTGCCTCCCTGCCTCCCTGCCTCCCTCCTTCCCTCCTTCCCTCCTTCCTTTATTTCTTTTTCTTTCTTCATTGTCATATGCCCACTACCTAGAGCAGAGCTTCGCACACAGTAGATGCTCCTTAACTATTTGCTGAAAGGATGAATTGTAGGAATAGCATGTGCAAAGGCCCTGAGGCAGCAAAGAGAAACTGATGTTTAGGAGGGAATGATTGGACCAAGGAAAGAAGGGTGAGTTGATCCCAGCTGGGATCCAGGGGGACACTGGGGAAGGACTGACCCTGCCCTGCTTGGCAGAGCTGCAGGCCGCCTTCCAGGAGTTTGACCGAGATCGGGACGGCTACATCGGCTGCCGGGACCTGGGCGCCTGCATGAGGACGCTGGGCTACATGCCCACTGAGATGGAGCTCATCGAGATTTCACAGCAAATCAGTATGTGCCTCGGACCCACCCCATCCCCAGTTCTCCAGAGGCCAGGGCCGGGGCAGCCAGGCAGCCCAGGCACAGAGATACCTGCTGGTTGGCCTCCTGAGTCCAGACCTTGGTCATTTTCAAGGCAAGAGACTCTCACCATTCCCTAGGAGGTGGGCAGGACAAGGACCATTACTCCTATTTTTTCGATGAGGAAATTGAGTATCTGAAATGTTAAGTGACTTGCCTAAGGTCACATAGCCAGACCATTGGAGCCAGGACTTGAACCCAACCAAACTGTTCAGGAAAATTAAGGAAAGCCATAAAAATAAAAATAAAAATAAAAAACACCCCAGTCTGTGGGGCCTGGAGGGAGGGAAGGGCACAGGCTGGAGGGGGAGGGCAGAGGAGAGCCAGTGCTGGGCAGGGGTCCCTGATGAACGTGGCCCCCAGGTGGCGGGAAGGTGGACTTTGAAGACTTCGTGGAGCTGATGGGCCCCAAGCTGCTGGCCGAGACAGCAGACATGATTGGCGTCAGGGAGCTGCGGGATGCCTTCCGAGAGGTGCGGCCCCTGGGGCT